GTAAAGAGAAGAATAAATTGTGTGTTCCCCAGTAAAAAGCTTAACTGCAGGTTGTTCTTACTTGCCATGAAGAACTGCTTAGTAGTGTGCAAGACGAATGTCAACAGGATTGTCAGGAAAGACTGACAACAGGACATCAAGGAAAGTGTTATTAAGCTATATTCCAACAGTTCTACCTTCCCTTTTGCTATGGATATGGAAACATGTAACCACACAGGTATATCAACGCATCTGTAAGTCTGTGCACAGACCCATGCAGCTCAAAGTGCTATTGCAAGAATTTCTGAGACTTCTGATTCAGTTAATTATTTTCAGGATTTTGGGTGTTCTCATGTATATTGTATCTAAGAGCAAAGTGATACTGTGTAAACAAGTGAATGTGTAAGCCATATGTCTGCTCTAATCATAGAATCATAGAATGGTTTGGGTTGAAAGGGACCTTAAAGACCATCTAGTGCCAACCCCCCTGCCATGGGCAAGGACCCCTTCCACTAGACCAGGTTGCTCAAAGCCTCATCCAGCCTGGCCTTGAACACTTCCAGGGATGGGGCATCCACAGCTTCTCTGGGCAACCTGTTCCAGTGCCTCACCACCCTCTCCGTGAAGAATTTTTTCCTGATATCTAATCTAAACCTCCTCACTTTCCATTTAAACCCGTTACCCCTTCTCCTCTCACGACATGCCCTTGTAAAAGGTGTCCCCCCACCCTCCCCAGCACTCTTGTAGGCCCCTTCAGGTACTGGAAGGCAGTTGGGTTAATCAGAGAAATAATTGTGCATGTGTTTGATTTTCAGATGTCTTCTTGCTCAAAAGATCCAATCTGGATTTGTGTGATATAATGAATGGGGAGGAGAAGGACTTTTATACATGCATATTTTTTTTTTAAAGTACTAGGGGTTAGTACCCACAATCCTGTTTAAAAGTGAAAAAGGAAACGACACAAGAATAGTCAGCTGAGCTTACACATAAGCACTCTGATCCAAAGACTGGGAGTAGAGAAAAGGAGAGACATCCTGCAAACATAAAATGGCTTGAAAAACCCCACCAGTTGTGAGAAGGACAGCACTCAGCTGTTCTTTTTATGGTGCTCTAAATTCTTTCTGGTTATGAAAAATGATTTCTGTAGGAATAAAATAACATCATTTTTAACATTTGAGTTAGCACAAAAGAGACGTTTTTGTCACCACAACTTCCAGGATACTTCCTTGAGGGAGTAGCTCACCTTGTTTTGAGCACAGATTTACATAAATAGGTTTTCCCGTCTCACTGGCTTCTAGCTGCATCCACGAATGAAGGTATTTCTTACTCTGCTTGGCCATTACTTTCTGACCTTGCTTTGTGAGAAAGAGAGAGCTGTTGGCCACCTTCAGGAGCCCATCCTCCTCAAGGCAAGTCCACCTGACGGCCCGGGAACAATTGACGATGATGCTACGAGATGACAGGGCAGAGCGTGTGGAGATGCTCAGGCACTGGGCAGATCTCACATGGAGGAGCCTGTCATCTGCCTTCCACTGCCACTGCTGGTTGAGGTTGGTCATGTTGCATTTCTCCACAATGACTCCTCTCTTTTCTGAAAGACACTGCTGTTTCTGGATATGGATAATCAGAAACCCTTCTGGAAGAGGAACATTCCAGGAAAATACAATAGATTAGACACGGTTATTTAACAAAAAGCAAATTCTTGATGATTTAAAATACATCAGCAAATAAATCTCTCTTCCCACTTTCTCTACATTGAACTTTTCACAAAATTTCCATGTGTTGAACCTGTGTTAAAAAGCTCTAGACATACTACCCACACGGTGCAAAAGCTGGTAACGCAAAGAGTGAGAATGCAAAAAGCAAACTATTGTGGTAAAGGTCACCTTGACCTTCATTACATATAAAAATGATGAAAAAATTAAGCTGGATATGAAATAAATCCAAGAACTATTGATTTTAAATACCAGTTCTAAATACCCCACTTCCCCTGCTTGAAAGCATCCAGAGATCTGCACAAGCTCTCCGTCCTATTTTCCGTTTTACGACAGTCTTTTTACAATGTAATTTACTGCCTGGAAACTGCTATAGTAAAACTCATAGTGTCTCCAAAGAAACCATGTAAGAGGACATTCCCAAATCTGTGTGCCTCTCTGCCTGTGCTGTTACAGGAATGGAGACTCTTTACTGATAGGAAGTACATCTATTCTACTGGATCTACTCCAGCGTCTCCAGCTGTTAGTTTTGTGACCATCCAAATTCATGTGAGGTTAGCGATTTGTGCCACCGCACTTCAAGACCAACCCCAAACACTCAAATGGAGAGAACCGCCATGCATTCATCAAACAAACCCGAAGTTACCCACACAAAACCCGTACTTGTTAGAGAACGCGGAACTGAGTATTTCAAATGCAGCCTCCCTGCCACATTTTATTTAGCTTTTTCTCTTTTCATAATCTCAGTTACTCAAAGATTTACAGCTTCATTAGTTACAAAGTGCTAATCCCAACACGTATATTTATCTATCTTGGTTGAGGTTTGTCATCCCTCTGTTTTTACAGACCTGGCTATTTTCTAACTAAGCATCACAGAAAGCTCCTGGCTCTGGAAGTTTCAGAAATTAGGAACAAAAAATAGGACTCTCCCCCTTGAAGAGCTTGTTCCAAACCTCAGCCCCTGGATTGTCTAGCAGGAGATCTTATTAAAAAAAAGAAGAGGTATCTGCAGCATAGAAGGAGACAGTTTATTTTCCTTTGTAAAGAAATCTAAACAGAATGGGCTACGTTGGCCCTGCCCCCCATTCCTCTCGTATGAACCCAAGCGAAGAAGTGCCTCAGTTTTTGTAAGTTGCCATCTGCCCCGGAGGGCTCTGCTCAGCGCCAGAAAGAGCAGCACGGCAGAGGGGAAGAGGGGAGAGCCACTTACCTGAGAACATCAGGGCAAGACAGGTAGAAACCAGGAGGTGAAATAAAGAATCCATTTTCCCTCTAGCAACTCCCCATGCTTCTCTTAAAAAAACCCACCTCAGATAAGTGAAGCGAAGGCTAGGAAGGAAATGTGCCTTCACGGGGGGAAAAAGTCAGTGACGAGCACTTCCTTCTATTCAATTGTTTTGGGGAGCTTTACATCACTTTGTCCTTTCATATCATTCTTCAGAGTTTACTAGTTGCTTTATTTTGGAAAAACAGAAGCAAAAGAGAGAGAGGTTTTCAAACACCCGGGAAACTAAAGGAGATGATTTGAATAAAGAAGAGAGATTGTGTTTCTGTGTAATTTGTTGCGTGTGAAATACTGCAGGTGGTCTGGATGGTGCTGGATAAGTACATACTGTAATATCCAGCAAACAAACACACATTTTGGTAACTATATGCAATCAAGCAAAATGTCGATATTGATACTTCTAACTCATCAAGTTCTAAGAGCCAAGCAGAGAGGGGGAGGAGAAGGGGAAGAGGAGGAGGCAAAGCTCTGAAGACTGCACTGCGTCTTACACTAACTCTCCCAAGGGATCAAGGGATGCTGCTTTTGCTTTCCCGTCAGGTGATCCAACGTGCTCCATGCCAGTGAGAGATTGCCCATATCCTCTGGATTGGCTCTCCAGTGGTCTGAAGCTACGGTGGAGGCTAACCAGATTGTACTGGGCTGTCCCTGTTTATGGGGGTACAGGAGTGTGTGATGCGTTAACTACTCGAGGCAAAGACAGAGATTTCAGTAAATATTTTATACCAAGTGTAATTTATTAGCAGTATGAAGCAAAGTCAACATCACTGCATTAAAAACTCATTATACCCTGTAAACAGACCTCCCAGTGCTGTAAGTCATAATGCCAACTTTGCATTTTTCTTAAAAACAAACTCCTACTGAACTGTAAAGGAAACAGTCATAGCAGCGTCTTCTTTCTTGTATAACCTGTCATGGAACAGTTCATATCGCTAAAGGCATCTATCTCTTACTGAAAGAGATAGAGCAGATAAACAACATAGGCAAAAAATCCCTCATTAATAAAAGACAGACAAATATTCAAAATTCCTACCATTTACTATATGCTACAAAGTTTCTTTTAAAAGCAAAACGACTTACAGAATTTACAAATACACTGGATTCGGGTCTGCAGCAGAAGCATGTTCTAAGACGATCAACAGTACAGGGTAAATACATACGCACTGAATAACAGACATTGTGCTCTGCAACTGCTCTGTGAGACCTACAGTAAATACACACAGTATGAAGAACATACATTTCCATATAAAATATTAAACTGCTTTTGAATATTTTCAAAAACAGGACTTTTAATTTTTTTTAATTATCTCATCTTCTTTTTTTAATCCATAATTGAACACTTGCAATTTTAGCAGCAAGAATATTATGTGGCCAAGAAACAAGCTCACCACATAATCAGTAATAGCACTTTACAGTACAGTTGACAGTCCATTCACAAGACAGTTTGCAAACGTTAAAGCATTTATACACTTGATAAACATTTCTTCTGTGGAAGTTCCAAAGTCCATCCAACTGCAGCAGTAGCACACACATACATTCCATATGGCAGATATCAGTATTACAGAATTAAACCCACCTTTAGATATATATGTGAAATCCATGTGTAGTTTCAGTACGGTACCTTCTTTATAAATCATTTTTGGGAAGCTCACAATACATTCATATACAGTAAGGGTCCAGCAATCTCTACACTTTTGCCAAACCGTCCACAATCCTTTCAGAAGTCGGCCTCAAAGCCGCTAAACTCCTTGAAGAAGCTGCTGGTAGGTAATGAAACAAATTACCTCAAGAGACTGACATTCGGTTCTACCCTCCTTGGCTTCACTGGACAGCTTCTGCAGAAAGTCTGCTTTCATACAGATTCAGTGCGTGGTGCACAAATTCATACTGTTCGCTGGTCTGAACCATTCCACCCCTGAAAAGGAAACCCACCGGAATTAAATCTTATTTCAAGAAGCTGCTGGTAGGTAATGAAACAAATTACCTCAAGAGACTGACATTCGGTTCTACCCTCCTTGGCTTCACTGGACAGCTTCTGCAGAAAGTCTGCTTTCATACAGATTCAGTGCGTGGTGCACAAATTCATACTGTTCGCTGGTCTGAACCATTCCACCCCTGAAAAGGAAACCCACCGGAATTAAATCTTATTTCTGAAGAATGCAACAACCTCCAGCCTCTGCCAACCCCATGATCACCAGATAATAAAAGCCCTTTTCTCAATTTTTGACTTAGGTTTGCTTAAGTGGGAGATTTGCCTGAGCAGAAGTACTTTCTTCATAACTTACGGCACGCACGTGCCCAGCATGAGCCACCATTCCCGATTCCATCAGGGTAAGAACTAGAGACGAAAACATCCTGGCATCTACGTTGTTAAAACCCACATTTCAAATTCAACACATTTACAGACAACTTTGCTCCGTCACTTGGGCAAGGAAGGCCAGATACACAGACACAGCACTACTATGGATGGTACGAGGGAGTATTCAGAATCTGGCCTTTCATTTTTGTCCTCTGCTAAACACGTAACCTTCGGTGACCTTCAGATCGCCTGCACAGAGAACAGCTCTTCCTGTCCTCTTTCTAACGCCTACAACGCATCCTGTCTGAACAGCAGCCACCTAAGAAATTTTACAGCAGTGACTCATTTCAGCACCAACAATACAAAAGAGTTTAACTTGACCATAAAAAGGACTAGTTACAGCCAGCTGGGATTAGATGCTTACACTTAACACATTCACCTCATAACCATCCCTGCGCAGGTCTAAGTATGAGGATCAAGTCCCACATCTCCAGTGCCAACTGAAGTGTGGTAGGAAGGGGATGATGTCCTACGGGAGGCAGGTAAGAGTGGTACTGTTCAGCTCTGAAATTAAACTGAACGTCTTTCTGACAGTACTGAGGTCTGCCAGGTCTCACTTCTCATGAAGCAAAGCCTCAAGTTTACTTAATTCCACTTTTATTACCTCATCTGCCAGGGTATTCAAAGCTACCCACTCTGCTTCTAGAACTAAGCCCCCAGTTCATCCCCAGCGTACCCTGGAGCAGCTAATTACCTCTGGGGATGAAAGAGTAAATGGCTGTAGTGGGAAGGAAGACGTGTATTGCATTTGGCTTCAGCTAGATCTTCACTGAAACAATCAGATTTGTGAGGGATTTGGATCAAGAGCAATGCCGAAGCCAGGTGTCTTACAGGAGAAGGTCTGACAAACCCCCATGTGATCCCTTCAGACACCCTAGAAACAAAAGGTTCTACTGATGGGCAAAGCTACATTAAAAATGGTAAAATTGTCTCAACAAGTATTGTCCTTTAGTATTAGATGATGTTATCTACAATAAGGTCCTTTTATTTTCCTTGGTGCTACTGGATGGTTAATGGCTGTGTCAGGAAAAACATAATTAAAATAGTACCTACTTCTTTAAGCAAGCAACTAGCTGTCCCTGCTCCTTCGGCAAGCTCAGGCAACTGTAAAACACCTTTTAGTGAGCTGCATGCCTATTAGGATATGTTATTCCTAGGCCCCTTTAAATGGTCCCATCCGGTGCAAAATGCATCAGCCTCTTAGCTTTGCCAAACAAGACATCCACAAATTCATAACTCTTGGCTGCCTGCTGCCTTCAGCTGCTCTACTCTGTGCCTGTCCCCTGCCTGGAGATCCAGCAAGAGTCTAAAGGTGACGGAGGGCTTTGCTCTGGTCCTCTGTGCTCCTTAGCCGCCTTCCTTCCTCCTCACTGCTGTGTCCTGCCCTGCCCACGCAACCCCTTCCCAGCCAGCTCCTTCCCTGTCTCCCCCATCAATGTTCCCCCAAGATGTGCTCTAAGGGAGTGTGTTTCCCAGGTTAGATCTGCTGTGTGGAAGAGGTAGAGGAAGGGAACATATCCAGGGGGAAGGACTAGGCAGGAAGGGCAGGTTAAAACAAGTTTGGCTGCACTAGCTGTTTGTGGGGGTGAGCCTTGCTCCTTCCTCTTCGGTGCTGAAGGAACATGCAAAGCCTCCAAGAAGGCCTGCAAAGCCTCCAGTAAGCCTGGCTGGGGCTGAGCCCAGCACTGCTGCATTTGCCTGTGCCAGCAAGCATAACTGAGACGTTGTGGTGCTTCTGAACGCTGTATGGGCAAACAAGTGCACATCCCTGTCAGCTTAGGGGCACCCGAGTCTTGTACGGAGGTTCAGACCACTTGGCCTTGTCAGTGCTGTTATACACGGGATTCCTAGAACCACAGCATCACAGAACAGCTGGGGTTGGAAGGGACCAAACCCACAGCCATGGGCAGGGACATCTTTCACTAAAGGCCCTGGTGAAAAGGCTTTTTCCATCTTTCTTATAAGCACCCTTTATGTACTGAAAGGCTGCAAAAGGGTGTTCCCAGAGCCTTCTCTTCTCCACGCTGAACAACCCAACTCTAGAACCTAGACCAGGTTGCTCAAAGCCCCGTCCTTAAACACTTCCAGGGATGGGACATCCACAGCTTCTCTGGGCAACCTCTTCTGTGCCTCACCATCCTCTCCATGAAAAATTTCTTCCTGATAACCAATCTAAATCTCCCCTCTTTCAATTTAAACCCGTTACCCCTTGTCCTATTGCTACAGGCCCTGGTAAAAAGTCCCCCCCAGCTTTCTTGTCGGACCCTTCAGGTACTGGAAGGCTGCAATAAGGTCTCCCTGGAGCCTTCTCTTCTCCAGGCTGAACAAGCCCAACTCTCTCAGCCTTTCATCATAGCAGAGGTGCTCCAGCTCTCTGAGCATCTTCGTGGCCTCCTCTGGACTCGCTCCAACCAGTCTATACCCTTCTGATACTGAGGGTTCCACAGATGGACGCAGAGCTGCAGGTGGGGTCTCACAAGAGCAGAGTACAGGGGCAGAATCCCCTCCCTTGACCTGCTGGCCACACTTCTCTGGATACAGCCCAGGATACGGTTGGCCTTCTGGGCTGCCTTTGCATCCACCAATAATCCCCAATTCCTTCTCCCCTTGGTTCTTGTTCAAGGCTCATATTTATCAGCAAGGAATTATCTGTGACTCTTAAGACATCGGTTTGTGGAAAAGGCTGTGTGGAAGAGCAGGAAAATTTTTCAGAAGGAAATCTGCTCAAGGAGGGAGGTTTCCTCTCCCTCGTCCCTAGCACCCAGAAGGGATGTACCCACAGCTACGGCACCTCTGGGTGTGCAGCCTTTGTCCTCTGCCAGCCCACACTGCCAGCTCCTCTGCAAGCTGCTGGGCTCTCTGCTTCTTTGGGACTCTCTGGGGTGGTGCTTGGAAGAAACGGTCCCTGGTCCTTAGGGCTGGGAGACCAGCTCTGCCTGGGCAATCATGGGGGAGGGAAGGGTCCTTTACCCTGTCCTCTGGCTTGCTGCTAGTGCAGCTGGATGCAGCCTGCTCCACAGTGAACGTGATGCAGGGTTGGGGATTTTTTTTTTTAACCTAAAGTGATTACTCAAAACACTTAAACAATGAATTGACGCACACTGGAAACTCTTTTCATCCTGTCTGAGGAGCCAAGAGCAAAGTTATCGGACGTCATTCCAAGAATGTGCCTTTAAGGTTAAGAATGTGCAGTTTCTCGATATCACACTAAGTCTTGAAGATGCCTCACATCAAATATTTCCTGTTTCTCTTGCAAAACATAAAATATGAACCAGGGAAAAAAAGTAAGCTGAGCAGACCTGTGGGTCTGTCTTCCAATGAATATACAGTAAGCGTGGTTATATCTCCATCCTCGGCCAAGATTTTGAGTGGGTGGTCCATTTTCTCATGTTAGCTGAGGCACAGATGATTACTGCCAGATCAGGTCAACCCTTAACTTACACTGAACAGCTGAGAAGAAAGTGGCATCTGGACATACCTTACCTGGGAACAGCTCTCTCCTCTCTCATTCCCTGCTGGAGCTCTATTTTAAATCCTGATTGCAGCGGGGCTACATAGACAGTTAAACTATTTTTCAGCACAACTTTTTTTGCCACCATCTGCACTTTGCCTGGATGCTTGTTCAGTTCCCACTGGGTGTGCCGGGCAATGGGAATGTTTTAGTAAATCACTACAGCATCACTGCGAGTCCCTCAAGCGCAGCTCTTTTTTCCTACTGCTCAATTCACTTTGGTAGAAACGTGGTCATGGACCCATGTGACAAGAAGTTCTCACATGAGAGGATACCATCATGTATGTTTGTCCCATCAGTAGGTCTGTGTTTGGATGGTGCAGCTCTGAGCATGAGCAAGCCTGCCTGGGATCGCAGCAGAGGTGAGGTATCAGAGATGAAATTCAGTGTACCTTTTGGGCAGGTTTCTGGCTACTAGGTGGTCAGATAAACCCATCCTTTTCTGATAAACTCTTTTTTCAGGTGTGGGGCTTGTGGTTTGTTTGTTTTTTTTTTTGATGGGGGAGGAGGCAATCTGGTGTACAAAGAATAAATTGAAGCTCAGCTTCTGGCCAACATTAGGAGGAAAACAGCCTCATCTCTGTTCCTGCTCTGCTCCTGGTTGTACCCCATTGCTAATGCTGGCCACGCTGGTAACTGAAGTGCAACACAGCTATGGCCAGAGCCAGCTCCTGCAGCCATGTCTAGTGGGATGTTAAGTTTATTTTGCCATCTTCATGTCACATGTAATGACCTTATCTCACATGCCACCTACCAATAATCATCATGTCAGACTGGGTCATCAGGGGAAGCTGGTCTCATGGAGCTTTGTCCATGTAACTGTGACACTCTTCCACTTTATGAACCCACAATCTGGTTGGGCTGGCAGTGGCTACTGTAGCATTAGGGGCTTCCAAGCTCTGCCTTAGCAGTACTTGCTATAAACTGACTGACAGGTGAATGAGATCTGTTCTGCAATATGACCAAGTAGAAAAAGGAAATAAAAAGAGGTTTTGATTACTGAGTTTTGCCCAGAAAAATATCTTTAAACATTAAAACACAGACACACTTTTTGTTTCAGACAGTGCCTGAGAATATGAAGAGCTGAGGTGCCTTAAGCAAGATCTCTGGAGTCTATTGATATAATCTGAAACTCAAAAAAGTACAGAAATGTGCAAGTCTCAAGACTTAACAATTCTTATAACAAGTTTTGTGTCACTGAGATTGCTGTTATGAATGTTTATATTTGGGTCAGATTTTCATTGTCTTTCCAAGTTTATCTAGAACACTAATATATACAAAAAAGTTAATTAGTCAGATACACTTAACGAATTATTTTTTTCTGCCAGTTAGAATGCTGAAAGTTTGGATTATTTTTTCTATGGCTGAAATAATGACATAAAAAATGATGTAGCTGAGACCAGACTTTTCTTCCACTTCTCTACAGTGGAGTGTAAAAGCAATAAGAATGTTATCTTATAACAGAAATTCTAAAATGGGGGAGAGAACTACAAAACATTTTCAATGAGATGAAGAGATAATCAGAATGAAGTGTTGGAAATTTGGAGTTGATAATTTAAAACAGAGTAGGCATTTTTCCCTCAGCTCTTCCATCTTTTTGGTTGCTGAGATTTTTAGGTCAGGACCTCCCCTTAGAGAATTTTACACTCCAAGCGGCTCATGTTGCCCTGTAAGGATCACATTACAATCTCCAGTATGATTAAGGCGCCTGGGAGGGGAAGGCAGAGGATGTGATCCGTAAACATGGTCAGCTATATGGATACTGGTCTTTCTGCAATTTGTGGTTCTAGTACCTTTCAGAGCTCTTCAGATCACAAAATCCTGTACTGTCCCTTTGATCTCAGCTGTTTTAGCATTTGCATCCTTATGGGTTGTTTCCATTTAAAGAAGAAATATATGTCAGAAGCAGCTAATATACTTGCAAGGAGATTATTTGATCTGGTACCTACAGCAGGAGAGGAATGAGACTTCTCTATTCTTGGTGCAACCCTGTTTATTTACTTTATACAAAATCCTGTTTCCCCAAGCAGAATAAGAAAGAAAAGTACAACCAAACCAGCAGCTTCCATTGTGCACAATACCCACATCCTCCTTTCTAACACAAATCTCTCTTCAACCATGGTTTCACAAAACAAAGCACTCTGCAACAATGCTGGCTTGCAGTGTTCCGGCTCCCAAGCTGTGAATTCAATCAGGGAATTGATCTGACTCAAGAAACTTATGCAGCAAATGCCTTGCTATTTTCTTAAGCTGACTAAGTTTGCCAACCCAACTCAAAAGGACCCCCAGCACAGCTGAGGGAATAGCAACAGCACCAGATTTGGCTCTCTCCACTGCACAAAGAAACTACACACTGAGTGAGCCTGGATATCTCTGTCAATCCCAGCTCAAAGACAATCCCTTGCCTCCAGATTGCCCCATGTCTCTTGTGTCCTAGTGGGATGCCACAAACAGCAGAAAGCTCCAGGAGAGCCCAGCAACGACAGTGTTGCCATCTCAGGAGAAATTCGTTCAGTGAAGTCTCACCCAGTTTCACCCAGAAAACAATATTCCTCACTTGGGATCTAAATACAAATGTTACTTTGAATATTCACCTAATGCTGTCATAAGTTCCTGCAAAAGTGATGGCAGTCACTTCACGTAAAGCAACATTCAACGGTGAAAAGTTTTCAGAGTCATTACTGACAATTACCGAATCATTTCAGCATCATTGACTGATTTTCAGAACCACTGACTGATTTATGGTTCTTCTGGAACTCACCGATCCACTCGTAGCTGACAGACAATGCTCAAAGCATCTACGACTCCCTCCTCCTTCAACTGCTGACAACCAATGGCCGTGGCAATAAAACATCCAGTCCTTCCTATACCGGCACTGAAAAGAAGGCACAGTTTAATAGGGGAATGGAGTTGACAGATCAAAGGAGTTTAGCAGAAAACACTAAATAGATATGAAAACAGTAAAAACACAAAACATTGAATTGCTAGAACCCACAGTTCCTGGGCACATAAGTAGCAAGGGCAACTTCTCAGTTCACTTTCTCAGAGAGAAATGAAAGCATGCACTGTTCCAGCTGCCTAGTTGTGGGTAATTTCTGAGGCTTACAGATTTCTAGTTTGCATACGAGCATATGGTAAGAGGAAACAATCTCCATTAGCACCACAAAGTCCAAATATTCTCTGTCACAGTCCAAGCAAATAATGGAGACAGACACTGAGCTGGGGGAAAAAGCTCACCTAAAGGCAAAAATCAGTAGGGCTTTATGTTTGAAGCCCTTGAGATATACAGGGGTTCTGCTAACCATACCTCTAACCATAGACCTGGAACCATGCTGATGATGTCAGCAGACTCTCCTGTGATACTGCAAGAGGAAGAAGGATTTGGTGCTGTAACTCTCCAGGTTTTCTTGATGCCTGCTGGAAACGGCCATTTTGGCATTCTTTTTACTCCCCGAGCCCCCAACACTTTTGAGAACCTCTGTCCCACTTAAGCAATGTTGGAATTCAGTGCAGCCCAAGCCTGTCATGCTTCATGGCAGGAAAATGTGAGGAGAATAGTTAAAGCATGGAGTCGGGGGCCAGATCTCTATGCCTGGCTTTAACCATTTGGTGCCTTGCTTTCTTCATCTCTCCAATGGGCAGGAATTCTCCCTGCCTCAGAAGAGCACAGCAAGAGTTATTTAAATTAATGCCAGGAAGAATAAATTGAGTGTCTCAGGTGGAAGCTTGATATATCTGAGTGCAAAGTGTTACCAGGAATGCATCCATTTGCTACAGCTGAAACAAATCACAATCTACTCACCACAGAAGGAAAGAGAAGAGGGCTTTAGGGACTCAAGAGCCCTCCCAGCTGTAAGTGAAAATTTCCAAGAGGACTCAGCAATGTTAAATATATGAGGATGACTCTGCCAGTTGTGAGGAGATAATGAGATGTAAAACTAACAGCATAAGAAAGGGTACTGAGCTGACAGCCTACCTCCTTGGACATCAACATCTATGGGATAAATGTATCCAAAAGGAGAAGGACATAGTTTATAAAGAGGAATTTGGAGAAAGCAATCTAATGCATACCCACATTCTCTTTCTCAAATATTTTGAAACCCTTGAAAGTAGGGCTAACAAGTTTAAATGATTCAGATATAAGCGAAGTTGGCTATAATTAAGGGTTCTTTTATTGCCTTTTTTGAGGGTCGAGTAGGTGTTCTTGGACGCGTTCTTAATATGTATTAAACAAAGACTACATTTTCTAATGTATTTTCTTCCTCAGCTCAGGTGTGCTGGTCCTGTCTTATTACACAGCTTTATTTCAGACAGTGCAAGACAAAAATGACATTGTTCTTCACTTGTCTGACGTTGCTTTCCTGGTATACCCATAAAAATATGGAGAGCTATTTACTTTGAAGTATTTTCAAGTACCCAGGGTTTTTTTTTAGGAGTTTATCATGTAATAGGTCATGTGTAGCAACCGTGGCCTGTTTAACTGGGAGTGTGGAATATTGGGCTGTTATGATTTCGGGATAAAGAGATGCAGGCTGTTTGCTTTTTAAAGAACATGTTCATGCACTAGCTGATGAGGAAAGACAAGCAAAAATTTCCAGCAATAACTATAACAGTGTCAAGTTTCTGACCATGAAAATTTAATCCCTTATTCTCATTTAAGAAACTCTTACAAGTCCTTCAATGTGCCAAATTGCTGGTTCTTCAGGGAAGCAGAAAATAGCACTGTGGTCCAAATTCTCTGTCAGCTTAGTTTCACTGACTAAATAGGGCTGAATCAGTTTTACATTTGCAGAATATAATTCTGTGTTCTAATTCCTCCCTATCAATTCAATTAAATAAAAAAAAATATTTTCCCTCTATATTTGAAATCTCGCAATCAGAACCTGTATTTGATCCCAAACCACCTAGCTGCCATTAAACCCAAACCTATTTTGATGTACCCCCTACACATCCAAAGAACAGATTAAGGAGATAGGTTCCACATTTACCCCGTGCTTTTGATGAGTGACGTCTGAGAGGAAACATACACCTTTCCAGCGAATGCCACTATGAAGACTGGTAGGAAGTTAAAACTTTCTTCCTTTGGAAATCTCTGTCCTTGGCATGTGTCTAATCAGATCTGCTGATTTTAAGGACCAGAGGAAACGTTTACTATTTTTCCTATTCTTTTGCAGAATAGGAACTACTTTGCTAGAAGAAGTAAAGTCCGTATTACTCCCAAGTCCTGAACGGGCTCATGACTGGTGTGTCTAAGACAGCACCCTATGCTGACAGGCTACAAGATGACACATTGAAAAAAAAAGAGGAGTCACTTTTTTTTCCACTCGCATCATATTAAGAAATTATTAAAGCATTTCTGCTTCAGACTAAGGATCATTGTTCGAGTGTGCACTGTAATGCTCCTCTGGAAATGAGTGAGAATCATGAGCTGTATCCGAGGTCCAAGCTTAGAAGTGTGCACGGGCTCTATAAGACTTAGATGATCTCAGCTGCAACTCAGATTAGAAGAGAAGAAAGTACCTGACTAGAAAATGGAGTGTGAGTTTACGCATTTTACAGACAACAGTGTAGTAAGCATATACAGAGCTGAGTTGTTACTGAAGAACCATTAACTCTAATCACAACTGAGATGATACCTGGGTTTAATCATGGAAAAGTTCCTGCTCATGATTACAGACCTTCCTGTCATATCACACACCACAGGAAGACACCCCGTTCTTCTGAAGACCTTCATTACTGAAGATCCTTACTGGAAAAATGGGACTCTCAATAGCCATCCACAGATTTGTGGATTTTTCAGGGCAACTACAATTCCTGATAAAAACAGCTGCATAAAATTTGGGAAAGTTACTTATTCATCACATTCTGGTTTTGAAAAACGATAGGTGGTTCAAATCTGGCTTCCATTTCTTTAAATCTCCCAAATATGGAGTTGAAAAGACGTGGTTCAAGATGAAATGTTCTGGTTTTGATGTACTTCTAGAAAAATACAAGTACTATCCCAACTCTAAGAGAAGTATCATCACAGTTTAGAGACAAAGCAAGTAAGGAAACACTGATTTTAGTTTTTTTCTGTTATGCTTCATCTACTTCTTTTCACCAACATAACAAATTCAGTACTATTTCCTACTACTTAAATTGCAATATGGGGTAATGAATCAATACAAACCAATAAAATGGAATTTAATTAGAATGATTAGAAGGACATTCTCTGGTTCATTACAATTTGTGTGAATAATACTCTGCTCTTGAGTACTGAGTAACACTTCACTCTTGAGTATCAAACAAACTGCCTTTGTGAAAACATTCAAAAACTTTAGTACTTCTGCGTTTCAGTCTCCAAATCTGTAGCTGATGCCTGCTGTTGAAAACTGACTTGCTTTACAATATTTTAGCCAACCAGTCACAGGGCATTGCATCTGACTGAGGTATGTAATTCCGCAAGAAGGCTAAAGAGAAAGCAAATCATGAATAAGAAACAGAAGCAAAATAATTTTTCCAGCTGGTCTTTCAAAACCAGAGTTCATTAGCAGAAATGGAGAATGGTTCAGAAGCGATTTGCTAGTCACAAGGGAATTCTCTCCAAAACTCAAATCCGCAAATATGCACAGAAAACGTCAATTAGCATGAAGAGGATCTGGGGAATTTTACTGTTCCCCACACACGTTCTTTGTTTAGGAGGAGGACCGTTTGATGTGATTTGCTGTGGCCTTGCTTTGGGCAGTCATTAGTGAGGATTGCAAATACCTGCAGTGCACAATGACAGGCCCTCTGCCAGGTGATTCCACCCTGTCCTCTTCTACGTCCAGCATGAGCTGCAGCAGCGGCTGAGCGCTGTCAGGGGTTTTGTGGTCCGGCCAGGATGTGTACCAGTAGTGTTTCACACTCCGGGACTGACTCCCTTGCTGAAAATAACATGAAGATTTTATATGAACACTTGTGGTGAACAATTCTTTTTATTTCTTTCAATGTTATGGTAAAAAGACAGTAAAAATGGTAGGAGAGATTCAACAATTTCCTTTTTATTGGACTCGGAGGATGCAATTGCAGGGAACAGGCGTGCTCCCAGGGACACAGTTGTAAGAAGGGTTTGTGCACCTGAAAACTTAGCAGTTTTTTCAGCTATGTAAGTTCTGCTCTGTCCATCTGACTACTGACTTGCTGACTGGGTTGTCAGCTGGAGATTGTCAGAGGTCAGTGTTAGATCAGCAGTAAGATCTAGAGAGATTAGCTTGATCTGGGCTTCTGAATCTCTAAATTATTATATATTTCTGCTACCCATTAAGGACATTATCATAAAGGTCTGACACTAAAATTACAAGAGTATTTACGTTGAAGGTGCATAAGAACTGCCCTTTTAGATTAATCAAAAATCCCAGCTTGTCCATTATTCTCTCCAACAGAGGCTGCTACCACTTACTTCAACAAAAAGGGGCTTGATATGGGCTGGAGTAATTTGTGTTGGATGATATGACCTGCCCAGTTCTCACTGCCTGGGCTGAAACACCAAACAAGTTTTCCCGTCCATTATTTACTGTAATGCTCTGTGAGGAGTAGCAGATGATGCAATCCGATAGCATGTTTAGTGAGAACCGTGAAAGCACAAAGCTTTCCTTATATGCTCCTTATAATTCTAACTTCTCAAATGAGCTATAGATGCACTCAGCACACAACATGATCAGCTCATCTTTTTCAGAATGATGTTATGCTGGTTCTTTCATTAACTAAAATCCCTTTACATTGCCTTGGCAATGCTAAAAAGGCCTCAAAGTAAATGTAATTCAAGAGAGCAAAACATGCACTCCTTTGGAAGCCTTCCTTATTGCCAAAGTGGTACAAAGCAGCAATACAATAAGTGTTCCAGTGCTTTGGTCTAAATCATACCTTGCACTGTGAGCTTCATAGCTCAGTTACTCCTCCTGTAAAAATTTATGCCCTTTAAAAAAAACAGTTTAACTTCATTTAACATCAAAAAAGTAAGGCATTATGAACAATGCTTCTCAGATGCAGATTGTTACCTTTATTGTAAGCTGACGAACAGTGTAGTTCTCGCATTCTTGAACACTGTTAACAAGGACCTCAACCTTCCCATAGATTCCTCTTTTTTCTGGCCAATAGAGCACACATTTCTGGAAAGCAAGCATCAGCGTCATCAACAAACTGGATCCCGGAGACATATTCATATCTAATTTTTGCACAGAATATATTTGTCTGGAAAGTTCAGATGAATTCAACCAAGGTGTTGTTCATGGCAGAAGAATTCCTAAAGGAGATATTGCAGGGTTCTTAATGAATGACTTAGGCCTAATTTTCAGCATCTGAGTTTTTCAAATATCTCTATCACTAAATACTTTGAACAGCTGTTTCTATTCTTAAAAGCTCTATGAAGTTCATTAAAAGGAATTATTTTCCATGTTCATAATAAAAGATTTTTTTTTAAAACATTCTTTAATTCATAGAATAAAATTTATAAAGTTTTCTCTTTCCTAATGAGATTTTCTTCTGAGCAAGAGATTCAAAATTTGTTCTATCCTCACAAGATCTTTTATCCTCTTCACTCTCCTGAGCCCTGGTACAACAAAGCATGTAAATGTGCCCTTAGATCTTACTGAATTCAATGGGACTTAATGTGCAGAATCTGAGTTGTCTCTTATGTTAAAAGAATCCATCAGTCTTGCTAGAGCTACACAAAATTATATACAGAGTTCTTAATGAACCAGTACTGTATGCAATTTCAGCAATGTATCTTTTAAGCATCTACTAAAAAGGAGATTGAGAAATAGTATTTGTGATACGAACCATTCTATTTTTCCCTTGTAAACGTTTGCTTATCTTCCAGTCCACTGCAACTTCATATTAATTTCTATTGAAGTATCTCTATATTTTACCTGAAAGCAAAGATCCCTGTCGTATAAATACGTCTTTAAAAGTAGATGGTTATTACCTTAAGGGTGTGAGGTGTTTGAAATCCACATTTTCTGAAATAACACTGGCCAATCTGACTTGTTCATTAAATTAAAAAAAACCACAACAATTAAAAACCCTCTTCTTCTTGATATCCAATGCACAGGTTAAAAAAACACCAAGAGAACAGAGAGTTCGACAATAACAGGAATCTCAGAAAGAACTTGTTTGTATTTCCTCACAAACTCTTGCTGAAGAAACTGGAATATATTTAGGCAGTAGCCTACATTAAGCAGCAAAATGAAACAATGCCTTTAATATAATTGCCATAAAGCATCGCTCCCAGTAAATCCTGCTAAAAGTGAACTAGAAAAAAATACCAGTGAAATGCAAGTCTTTACCACCAGGTGTGATCTTTAAGCTGCTACTCTACTTGATAACCCAACAGCTGATTGAACCGAATCATCCTTGTTGTAGAAATACTTTTCCAAAAATCGATGCTCATTACCTGAGTGATGTAAGGTGCGTGAAAGCCACATTTTCTGAAATAATGCTGGCCAATGTGACTGGATTCATTCAAATCCTGTTTTTTGCAGAATTACTCGAACATCCTAAATTTGCTGCCTCCCCGAAGACATCAAGAATGGCAATAAAATACTCAGAAATTTGTATGAAAAAAAGTGTTTGCATACCCACAGTCCCCCCCATGTGACACATATAGCTACTATCATCTGCCAGATCTGCAATTCATGCCCCTCCCTGGGAGTGTAGTTTTCAGTGCTAATATGGGAAAAAGAAAAGTCTAAATACACAATTGTACCCTGACAATCAACAATAGTTGAGTCAGCCCCTGAGACTTCTTGATAAATGCGAGCATTCGAAGCTCACTACAAAGCCTTCAGGCACTCCACAAGAGTGTTTTTCTTGACTCTTTCCCAGAACTGGAATTGGCAACTTGCACTGGGTGGACAATGATGTTGGGCTGTTCATTAAAATAACTTTCATTTAACAGTCTGTCTACATTTAGTGAGATACAATGGATTATTTTTAACACAGTCTCCGTGCATCTTTTTAAAATACCATTTGTTACCGCTTTAAAAAATAGCCTTGAAAATAGAGGTGGGAGCAGTTCATTCAAGACAGGTATTTGGGGAAACGAACATATTTTTGAAAGTTAATTGTACTAAAGAGATAAAGATGAAGATGGGAGGGATAAACACATCAGACATACAAAAAACAACAGAAATCCCCAGGAGGACTGGCTCCTTTTAAACCTGTTCAGAAGCCAAACACAATGGTTACGAAGGGTGGTCTCTAGCCTTATGTCTGTAATGAGCAAAAGCTTATTGCCTACAGGATATATCAGAAAACAAGGAAGGATTCACTAGTTCTTATCATCACGGAGTCCTCCACCTCCAGTCTTTGTGGTGGTCCTGATTCTGTTCCTAGTTGTTCTTTCGGGCTGCATATTTTCCCTTTCAGCTTATTAATCTATTACAACATATTCTAAATAGGTCACATACTTAGCTTGGGATTGAGTGTACAGTTCTCTGTGTAGTCAGCAAACATGTAACAGCTACGAGTAGGATTTTTTAAAAGATGCTTAAGCCCCAAAAAAAAGAGAAATCCTAACCAACTTGCAAAAGCCTGGGAATCTTCTTATTTTCACGTGGAAAATCTCATCTTCCATCTTCACGTGGAAAATCTGGATCTTTCAAATTCTCCCCTTGGATTCATTTCCATTAGTTAGTTTTTTGCTAATAAATGATTATTTATTTCTGATTTGGTGCCTGACCTTTTTTTTTTTTTTAAAAAAAAAACCCACCACCAACATTCCGTGACCTGAACAGGAAGTTTATACAAGAAACAGTCTCTCTCATGACCTTTAATTGATTTCAGCCTTTGTCCTTCCTGCTGTGACAGGGCTGCAGGCTTAGGCTCCCTCCATCCCCTGTCTGGTCTCCTTGTGCACCCACACCCGCCGGGTGCCAGGCTTTGTGGGACTGCTCCTGAGGTGGGTCTCCATATGAGTTCCTCGGGCTGGGGCTGTCACCTGCTGCGTGCCGCAGTCAGTTTGTGCTCAGGAGCGCAGACTTTCTTAACTTGCCCCAAGTGCTCCTATTGCAGCCTGGACCCCCAGTTCTGCCAAATAGAGGAAGGCTCTCTCAGCTGATGTGTTATTTACCTGCTTTACTTCCCCTGGAGTTGGACCCTGAACAAAATTAGTTTAACAATTGTCAAATATCTGTGAGGTTGCTTTACTTCAGCTCCACTTCTTGTTTATTTTTCAATACAGATATGTCAACAAATTTACACATTAAATGTCCCAATAACCAGGCCAACACACAACAGCAATGAATAATTACAGCAAATCTTCAATTCCAGAATCCCTTTTTACTCCTGCCCTTTACTTACAGCCACTACTAACCCAACATGAGAGGCATACTTTAAGAGGGCTTGCTGCCTTCATATACTAAAATCCTCAAAGTTAGCACCAAATCTTCTTAAATTTTTCCAAAACCTAAGACATATCCATGGTGCCAATATTCAACTAATATGTAATCTTCAAGGAGGCTTATGTGAATTCCATAAAAGGTAGGATTTCTGAATTACAAAACCTACTTTGCTATGTGTAGATAAGTGTGCCTATAGACCAACTGAGGGAAAAAAAGTTATGTGACAAACCATATGAGCTTTAAACAGTGAGTTAACAAGATTGACCTAGATAATTACTGACAACAAGATTTACATTATCTGAGTTGAATAAACATGCATTGTTTAATGCATCTGTCAGTACTAGTCCTTTCTTCTTGCGGAATGCTGCTCAGTATTCTTTATTTGTGCTACCCAAAATATGTTTCCTGGTTAACAGGTAATGCTGTTAGTGAGTTTTAAGGCAAACTAAATGTGCATTATCTACGGAGTACATAGCACAAGTATGAAAAACAGCTGATACAACAGAAGTCTATAAACTTCTCTGTAAAATCATATAGGAGTCTATAGAATTGTTATACTCCACAGATTTGTCTATTTTCCATTGCTCAGTTTTCTTGACTGAAATCTAATATATGAAGTTTATATGTGCCACGTGGATAAAGCTTTGTAAAACAGTGCCCTAAAATATTACTACAGAATTAGAGATGGTCACCTTCAGTGGGTGATTTATCTCATTCTCTTAGAGTGGGATGGATCACTCTCTGAAGGTGTCTACTGCTCTTCAGTGACCAGGGAGGGAATCTAGATCACTAGGTGAGATGTGTTTTTCCTCATATTAACCCTAAGATTATAGCCTGGAATTCCAAGTTTCTCATTATTTACTCAGGCAGAAGCTCCTTTGCTGTGGGGTCCTCTTGCAAAAGCAGATTTCCAATCTGTTCAGACATTATGTAGTTTTGAGGACAGGTTTTACAGATTCTGCTTAAAATACCCACAGCACCCATAGTTACTTCAGCATTATTCTTGCTTACAAAACAACCTCCTTTTTTTTTTATCAGACTTCAAAATCAAAAAGAAAGAAAATCCAACAATTTAATGCTCCATATTTTTTCCATTCAGCTGAAATGAGTATTTTGCTCAGCAATCTACTTTCATATTATATCTTCATCCATCTTACAAAAACGATTACCACAGTGAGTCTTAACCATTTTTTCATCTCATGGAAGAAAGTAAGTCTACGGAAAACTCTGTTTATCATCATTTCACATGAAAAAGAAAGAAAATCCAACAATTTAATGCTCCATATTTTTTCCATTCAGCTGAAATGAGTATTTTGCTCAGCAATCTACTTTCATATTATATCTTCATCCATCTTACAAAAACGATTACCACAGTGAGTCTTAACCATTTTTTCATCTCATGGAAGAAAGTAAGTCTACGGAAAACTCTGTTTATCATCATTTCACACAATTCCCATTGTTACTGCAAATTCATCTCATCAGTATATAGAACCAGGATACTAATGTCCTGAATAATTTTACTTATGCTAAAGAAATGAATTTATTGTTGAGATTAAGGTTTTTCATTGAGAGCTCCCTTGTTATACATTACTTTATATATTATAGTACATTACAGCTCAGATGGAGGCAGACTGATGTTATACCAACTGAGGAATGGGGCCTACACCTGAGGGTTGCGTATGGGGGTTTATTTGTGCCTGGGTGGATGTGGATGAGTGGGTGAATACACTTTCAGGTATGAAGGTATTTGTACGTGTGTATATACTGCAGATGTACCTCCCTGAGAATAATGGAAATAAAGCAGACCACAGAGAAGAAAAAATAACAAGTGCTATTATGCTAAATAACATCTGCTCTTGCCTTCTCTATAGAGAGCAAATACTTTAACAATGAGGTTAATATGCTGAGCATAGCTGCTAGCTAAGCTGTTTTATTTTCCACGGCAAGCAGGGTTTCAGGAGGAACCTGCTGACGGTGGGAGAGTTCCTAAGGTTTCTAGACAGGGCAGGACAGCTTGTGCAAACACAGCCTCTCTATATAGCCTGGGAACAATTTGAGATCCCCCACCCTTTCTATTAGGAGGAAATTACCACTGCCAGGCCACAACAATGCAGATAAACACCAGTGCCTAGATCCTGTGTAACTCAGGTAAACACAGGGCTTCCTGACACGATGGAAACCACTAGGCACTTCTTTCAAGTCATTCTTCTTAGAGTGTCAGATGTGAGTGTTTAAACAGTCAGCATTTCCTCAGTCAAATACTTATTCTTTTGGCCAATTAGGCTGGAGTAAGTTTTCTACGTTTTCAGGAGTACACACACTTCTTAATGTAGACTTCTGGACACTTGTTTGAACAGTCTAGTGCAAAATGGCACCTGATTTGAAAATAGATGTTGGGATATTTTACATGACCAACCTACTTTTTCATACAGCTTCCTTAAAATCCACTGGATTTTAAGATAATGTTAGAAGCCCAAACTCACAGTGACAAAGAGCCAAGAAGTGGTCAAGGGCAGAAAAAAGAAGAGCATGTCTACTGAGTCCACAGTTAAATGGAGCAGTGAGTTGGGCCCTGGGAATGCACTCCCTTGATCTTGATCCCTTGATCACTCAGACTGGGAACTTGGTCTGAATAAATCCTGCTTCTCTATCATCACATGCATCTGAGTTAAGGGCAGGACTGTGAGTGGAGCAGGGGCAACCTGACCTTGGTTCATACCTGGCAAGGTGCTGAGACTTGGTTGAGGCACCTACCCGGAGCTGGGAATTGCTAGAAAGTCTAGCAGTTTGGACTGAAGAAAAAAAGTCAAACTCCTCTATGTCTGTCTGTCTCTTGTCCACAAACCGTTCAATCATCCAGAGCAGATCTTTGTGTTGGCCCTCTGCATAGAAGAGTGATTGTCGTTCGTAATGTCTGGCAGTCACAAATAATGGACTCTGGCACTATCAAGGAGAGCCTGGCAACAATTTACATGAATACTAAATAAAGCTATTAAAGATGCAGTTGGGAATCAATCCAAAAGTCACAGAATGTGTAACAGGCAGTTAGATGGCCATTAGCAATTAAAATGCAATTGTCATCTCTACTTGGTAGTAAGGTAAAGAGCCATGTATTTCCATTCTGGCTAAGTCCCTCCATGGCATTGGCATTTGGGAGCCCAAACTGTATTTCTGGGATGGTCCAGAAGATTTGTAATATCTGGAATGGATTCAAAACCTGCCATTATAGCAAAGTTCAAACTTCAACTATGTCAGGAAAGCTCTAATCATAACACTAACCATCTATTCTTTACATATCAGAACATAACAAGAAGTACAGAGGTGGCCAACAGACAAATGAGGAGCTTCTTAAAAAATTATGAACCCAACAATACAGATATAGAAAATAGAATTATTTTTTGTCTTTTTTTAAGATCTCTCTTGTGATTCCTTTGCAATTGCAGTTGGTGTATTTGGCTGCCCCAACATTACCTTTCACATTGCCCATTACCAGAGCATTTAAGAGCCAGTTTTCTGCTAGCTTCCTTCCATATCTGTTTCTTTCTACAGTATGCAGCCATAGGAATAATTTCTCAGTTTGGCCAGTTGTCATACCTCATTTTTTTCTTTCAGCTTTGTGATCATAACAATGACAGGGCTGTCTTCTTGCCAAACCATCTGCCAGAAATCATTCACGGTATTAATCATGGGTCCCTGAGTTGCAATGAAAGCCTTCTCTTTACCTCCATATCCCTGGTTTAGAAACAGACAAAAAAGCATTTACTTTAAATTCATGTGGTTGACCAAAATTGAAGGTGAATGTTCTAAAAGAGCAGGAAAATGAATCTGGAATTAAACAAACAAAAAAAAAGTTATTTGAACTGAAAGCAGTTACGAGTAACAGTAGAGCAGATTAGAAATTTTTCAGTTTTTCCTCTGAAAATTACTGATTCGATGAACTGAAATGGTCCTGAGAATACATCAATCCCTCTCAAATTTTGCTGTTTACTTGGCTTCTTCTAGCTCCAAGTTGTTGGGGCTTTCCATCATCCAGTGGTACTTTAATCCATGATTTATATTGTTGCAGTGTTTACAGGATAGTTTACAGTCAACAAAACACAGAGAAAAAAAATGGGAACTGTAACACTGGTTTCTACTAAGATTCATGGCAGGAAAAAAGATTTAAAATACATGAATGCTTGTGGGGTCGAAGACTCTGCTATCCATCTTTGCTAAGGGAGAAATGCCTTTATGAGACCTTATAGGAGGGACAGCATATCATTACAAGGAGTTCTGAGACACACAAGTGTATGGGAAGTCAAAGAAAGGTCAGGCAAAGAGCGGGAAAGCAGAGGGAAGGGAAAGGCAAGAAGAAATGGGAAAAACAAGAGATTGCCTTGTTATTTTTCAGCTGAGGAGAACTTGTGAGTTTGTGCAGTGACAGGGTGCCCAGCAGGAGAGTCTGGCAATGCCTGAAGGGATGAGTGAATGGAGAAGGGCTGGAGGTGGTGCAGGAGCCTCTACCCATGGCTATTCCTTTTGGGTGCCTTTTGCCTTCATTGCAGGAACCAATGGAATAGATCCTCAGCTGGTATAAACAGTCTTCCTATTCATCAATCCACCTGAATATACTTTGGTCCAAGACAGGTCAGGATCCCAGCAAGCCTAATGGTATTGCATACATGGATGTGAAATTTCATTTCATTGCTGAGTTGTATGTTTTTCTGCAGTTGCTGGCAGTTCAACCAGTGTCAGCAGCAGGAGAAATCACCATATGTTGGCCTGAAGAGTGGTAGCATGGGGAAAAGGGAGAGCTCAGAGGACTCAAAACATGGCTTGGCTGATGGCAGAGTTGCTCTCCAAAGAGAACTGCTCTGCTTAGTTACATGATGATGTCATTCATACGAACCACTGAAAGTGCAGGATGTATAGTGAGGCAGGGTAGGGGGCATGGGGGATGTGTACATACATACTCATGTACTGTTACTTAAATAAGCAATATCACTGTAGAGCTTTGGGGCCAAATATCGGTTGCATTATTACATTTATTCCAGCTGAGGGTCTGATACATAATGCTAATCAAAACATTTAATTTTGCAGGCAGAAGACTATACTCCTACAACATGACTGAAGTAGTGTCTTAGTAGCCTATTCAGCATACACTGTGCCATGAGTTCAAGAAGGCTTTGTGTGTGTGATCGATGATTACAGCATAGCTGACACTTAGAAACAGTGCTTTCCTACAGGTTTCATGGTAAAAGCTTTGTATCATGTAACCACTGAATACAGGGAGTCAAGTGTGAACAAGAGTGTGTGCTGGTGTACACATGTGTGTACAACACATCTGTTTATGCTCCTTTTCACAAACTTGTTACAGTATTTATTTACTTACTTAACTGATGATTTCAGGATTACCAGTTGATATAGTTATGCATGGAAAAAAAAACCACCATCACCACCGAACCTGTTTGTGGATAACATGACTGCAATGAGCAACCACACACCTTATATTGCTGACTCTGACCTTCTCTTTACCAAAATACAGGTATCCCTGTCACAGTTGAAAGGTAAGTCTCTTTTCCTTACTATAAGGCAGTAGGACAATGTTAAATGGTAAATACTGAAGTAAACGGATAGTAATGCATGTGTTTCTTAATGGTTTTTGTAAACTATTTGATAAATTGTTTTCTTCCGGCAACCATTTTAGTACATTCATGGCTGTGTCGTCACAAACAGCTCATGAAACTATTTCTATCACACCAATGTAGACAAAAAGATTAGGAATTATCAATGAAGCTGGGTAGGAATAAAAATTAGTGGCAAAATCAGTTATTCATGTGGAAAATCAAATATTGTCTCAAAAGCACATGAAGAGTGTACATTTACTTACCCTAATGTAGTTAGCATTTATGTAGGTACTCAGGGAGTCAGATGGATTTTTTGGATTCAAATACACTCTGCTTAGAGGATCTAAGAGCACAAGGAAGATGGAAATTGAAAAGAAAACCCATAATTAGAAGATTTCTAAAGAGGATCGAAGACTTGTTGAAGAAAATAATCTACTGTTATTCAGAGTTGTCAAGCACTAAAGAATTATGCATCAAATTCTTCCCTCCCTCAGTCACATGTTCTCATCTGACACAATTTGTCATGTGTACTACACTGGATGCACAATGCCAAAATACAGGAACATTTTCCTTCATGCTCTTCTTTCTTTCACGGTCTCATATGATCTAGCATGGCCTGGGGGCCAGTTCTGTTGAGTATAGTGCTGGGGGTTACTAAATCCCCACAAAGGAAGTTTTTGCTTACTTGTTTGTGATGACGTGATCTCCCATGTATTACCCTCTTGGAATTAAAGCCAGCAAATTCTCAATTACAGCGTGCAACAGAAAGGGATAAGAAGGGGAGGGACGTCCCTATGCCAAGGCTGTCTAGGGGCACACTTCGACTTTCTTCACACCTTTTCTGGAAAGATATCTCACTGTTGATAAAACCACATGGAAATATTTCTGTACTGAAAAAAAAACCAACTTCCCCCTTTTTTTTTTCATGGCCATTTGCTTAAATAATTAATTAGAATCAGCAGCTTTTTTACAGTGTACAGACACCTACTGGTTTGGAAATAGTCTCTGGATAGCTGCTTTGCTGAGTGCAATCTAGGCAATTCGTTCAAAGATACATACATGGATGCTGAACTGGACAGGTAAGAAAACACTATTTATTACATGGCCCTGCTGTTTACACAAGAAATATGTAATTAATGTACATATGCTGTAGCAAAAAAACTGGTATTTTGAGTCTTGCTTTTGGATTTCGTTTGTGACTTGTCATCCCGTTCCTCAGAACAAGATAAAACTTTTGCAAATCAAAGGAGGAGGAGGGATGATCCCAAACATACTTTATGAGCTTTTCCCACTGGAAAGATCACAAAAGCTTCTTGGACTGGAGTGGAGCTTTGCAGGACCCAGGCTGGTGTTTTGAATGTATGTTTCTTAAAATGTGCAAATGAATGTGAATGTTCAATTCAAAGTCTGTGCATGGAAGTCTTGTCTTCTGCATTAATAGCACAACATGAACCCTGGTTAGCTGCTGTTAACATTTCTTTGTACTAGCCTTTCCAAATTCTTCACTTAAAGCTTTTTCCCCCCCTTAACAATACGAGGACAGGAAACCTCTCATTCCTTTTCAGCACAGAGTGATTATTAGCCATTTCCACAAATGCCTCAGGCTACGTGGCCTTGAAAAAACACTCGCTTCCTCTAGCTCACACTGCCTCTGATTCTGGTGTAGCTTGACCCCTACCTTAAAAAACCTCTTCCAAGCAGACTCAACATCCAGTTTAATTACCATGTCTTGAGATAAATCCCTCTGTTACTAAGGAGCAGCTAAAACAGTTTCACAATTTCTGAGATCTCCTTCCAACTCCAATCACCGAAACAAGCACTGCTTCCAAATGGGAATATTTTATAAATTAACAGTCCTGAGCAGTTATGAAATAGGTAAGTGCTATAAACTCAGCTCTGAGATGAGGAAAACCTGAGCGCTGCTAAAGATCCAAAGCCACTAAGCAATCATCAGACACAACTGGAAGTAATTAGCCTCCTCCTGAATGACAAATACCTTGGAGGTAATAATCTTTTCCTCAAGGATAGCAAAGTCAGAGAGTCTGAAGCTACAGCAGAAAGACACAGATGGTGGCTGCAAGGCTGAATTCATCAACGTTTGTAAAGCATCTTGAAACACAGTAAGGCTGCTAAGCACTTATAATTACAAATAAAAAATGTCCTCTACAATTCTGACTGAAGCAAAAATACTGCTGTTTTCTTCCATGTATCCAGAAAGGCTGGAATAGCTCTCCCATTAGAGTAGAAAAAGCTTCCCCTAACTCAATCTTCAACAAATTAATATTGGCCTGAATTTACCAGCATGGATGAATAAGAGGTTGTTAAAGAGGGTGTAGCTTGGCCCCATGAAGCTGCCCGGTGCAGGGAAGGAGCTGGGCTATATGGTGGCACTGCAGGATAGCCTCCCCCTCTGCCATCAGTACTGGAGGTTCATCAACTCCATGAGCACCACTTTGTCATGAAGACCCAGGGCTCTGTCCCACTGCAAAGTCTGTATTTGTTGTGCGGTGGGTATGATGTGCTGTGGTTGTTTTTGTCTTCTTCAAATTCAACTGCTACTGTGTTCTGAATTCTTAGGGCATGGGTATGTTTGCATTTGTAGCATTTCCAAGATGTCCTTTGTTCCTCCTAGTCCAGTCCTAGCTGCCTTACCAAAAGCAGGACTGAAATACTGTGAGAAGGGCTGTCCTTAAGCCGTTTCTGGTTTATGAGCAGGAAAGGAAGATGAAAATTTTTTTGAGGCAGCTTGCTCTTACATTTGGAGCCCAAAAGATCATAAATCTTTTAGATATTGAAACATTCTGAAATTCCTCTAGGTCTATTTTGCCTGGTTTTCCTTGCAGTCTATAAATGAATTATAGATACTGGTATTATTTGGTAAACAATGTAATATGCAACGTGTAAGAATCACACCAGACTGCATTCCCAATCTCTGCCAGGTGGGGAATAGGCTATTAGACTTGCAAATAATACAAATGCCTGAAAAAAACTTACGTATAAACCACCTGTAAACTATACATGAGTTTTTAATCTCATCTGAATAATTCCCTGGGACTTCCAGTATAATGCAGGATTTCTAAAATGAAAACGTAACAGATTTTTATCATGGTGAGTGCATCTGCATTTTAAAACAGGTTCCAGCATTACAAAATAAAGTTTCATTCTTGCAAAGGGAACCTTTCTTATCAACTAAAAATAAAGTCTGCCTAATACCCACTTACATTTTTAACTCTGCGGTCTAACATAGCTCAATTATTTTAATACTGGCTATTTACAAATATTATAGATATTACGATATTGACAACCACAAATAGGACACATTTTGTCAATTCACCTGGGTATACCAAAACGCTTTGATGAACCCATGTTGAGTTCCTCTAAGATAAAACAGTTTCTATCCTTCTGCTCTGTAAATACAATTTTTTTTCTTTAGACTTTGGAAGCCTGCTAGTGATCCTATTGCCTTCATTAGGGAGCAGGACGGGACCAAACATGACTGTTGTTAGTCAGGACTGTAGTGCAAGCAAGCTTGAAAATTCTTAACATCAAGAGAACGGTTTTCCAGCCTCTGTCCATAAGCTTGCGTAATGAGTGCTTTGTTTGTATGATTTAGATTCACCTTCCCCCTCGCCTTCAGCTGGAGTGCCAGAGCCAGTTTTAGCGGAAGCACTTCGAGCAACAGCTTATGTGTTTGTGTGTCTGACCTGCCAAGTGCTTTCTACCTTCATGTTACTGTGAATCTGCTGTTCTGCCAAGAGTGTTTTCATGTAGGCTTTTGCCCTGAGGGTACACTTCAGGAAGGGGTGAGGAATGACACCCAGGTACCCAGGAAGTGTTGCACACACGAAGGCACCCACAGAATAGTGTTAAGCCACTTGCTGCTTTGTAAGCAAGTACCCACACATGTTGTGAAGCACCACGGGAATTCTGCTTCTGGTTTGAGGTGGAAAAGTGAGACAGGAAGGGGAAAAGACACAGGGCTTTGAAGCTGAGGTCCTACTGCGGGGACATGGAGGCTGCAGGAGACAAGCAGGCAAAGGTGAAGATGTGGAGTAAGAGGATGAGGAGGGAGCAGCAGGACTGATGTTCTGTCACAAGGATGTGATTGTGGTGAGAGACCGGGAAACGTGCGCAGGATGGGGAACCTGATCAGGAGTGAGAAATGCTGTAGGTGGATGGCAGAGGGAATGCAGCTGAAGATACGGAGCCGGGTTTGACAGGACCCATGAGTGGAGTCACAATCAAGAGGAAGGATGGAGAAACAGTGGTTTTAAGGAACTGTTTAGCCACTTACCTCTGATCATACACTGGTCCCTCGTTAGTTTTATTAGCATATTATTATAAAGCAATTAACAGAAAACTTAGAGAGGCATCCTAACTTGAGTGCTGGCTGTTATACAGCAATGGAAATATCTTTCATGGCAATGTAACATTTCCTACACTTTACAGTTTTCCATATAGCATAATTTTCATTAGGCTTTCATTTTATTTCATATGAGTGTGTCTGGCTGGGTAGTATCTATTAACATGAACCTGCCTTTGCGCACCCTGTCACAGAACTATCTCTCAGAAAACGAGACCATCCTCCACAGCACAGAGGGTGGAACTGGCAGGACTGGGCATTTTTAGGAGCTAATCCATCAGCTCAAACGTCACTTGTCACCACAGGTGCCCCGATTCAGGAGACACACCCAGCGCTGCGAATGGAAAAGCTGATGCGGGTGTACGAAGCAGTGGGTTGATATCATCCGAGCAGGAAACCAGGAAGGCTGTTCTATTTAATCACCCAAATCGTTTCCAAACCCTCTCAGACTGGGTGTGGGGTGTGCAAGTATTTATTGTGAGCATGTGCCTCAACCCTCAAAATACCTTCTTTGAAAAAGCCTGGTGCTAACACACAACAGACTTTTTGATTTCTGTCAAGGACGGTTACAAAGTGCCTGTCCGTGAGGAGCTGTGGTGCACACAGGCAGCACGCTTGAACTGAAAGTGTGCAGCGGAGTTAGCGGCACATCCCAGCTAACTGGAGGTGAAAACACAAAGGCATACTGGTTCTCAAAGCTCATCAGCATCAACCACAGCCCAGCTGTCATGTCCCAATTCAAAACACATGCTGCAGTGAAACAGGACTCATCGCATTTGCAAGGCGTCGCTGAAGGCGAACCTGGTGGTGGCTGAGGCAGCTCGAATGCCAGATGCTAAGGGAAGGGAGAAGTCCTTCCCAAAATCTGCCTGTCAGGCGGAGGGAGGCTTGGTGATATCCTGGCTCCACTGCAGCTGATGGCAAAAGTTCTGCTGTCGTCAAAGGGGTCAGAATTTCACCCTCCGTGTACATCCTGTTGACACTGGGCCAGGCTCTAAGGGATGCTGAATTTTCTGATTACTTGGTATGTAACTTGCATTCAGTTATTTGCTTGCTTTAATTCCCTTCAGCATTCCTCGATTGCACTCAGATGAACCCAGCTATTGGTTGCAGCAGATGAACTAACCTTGAAGACAACGGAAGTTTTACTGGGGGCCGAAGGGAAGCAAGGACTCCACACAAGAAGTTCCTTTCCCAGCTATGTATCACATTTCTGAGACTGATCTAGTGACTGAAGGCCATCAATATTCATTAATTTGACTGCACGGCCTGTGTATGATGTGAACAAATTACTGTCTCGCTGAGAGAAATCTTGTCATTTAAAGTGTGTGAATTTGCATGGCTAACATATAACACAGGCCTACAGGACATAACAGAGATGATTAGAAAGCAAATTTTTAGTTGACAGGGCATGCTGTCATTTTTAAAGTATTCTTCATTCCAAACCTAAGCAAAGGGTTATGTTTATAACTTTCTGTGGGAGTGCCTTCTGACATTTTGAATCAATCACTGAACTTTTTCACTTTGGTAATGTCAAAATTTATAAAAACTCAACTATTCATGTCTATATTTAGTGCAATGTTAAAACTTGAGCAATCCATTTTGAAACTGAACACAAAAAAAAAAGGTTAATAAAAGAGAAATTAAATATCTCATTATCCTCCAACAAATGTCATGAAAATAGTGGCATTTCAGATAAATGTGTATTTTGAAGGGAAACTATTCCACTGAAAAGTTTTCAATCACCTCTAATTATAAAACAAAGCAATTGTTACTTGGTCAGAAATAAAGAATTTGGGCCAACAAAAATACAGCAGCAGTACAGCAAAACAGTAACAAGTTTGCAGCAATGATGAGGAAGCACTGTGAGAGAGCAGTTTGCTTACTAAGGTAAACAAATTTCCACAAAGCCAATTGGCGCAAGAAAAAGCCCTAATGACAGAGGACTTACAAAGATGGAAGTCACTACAAGGATAGGATGCACTTGCTTTTTCAGTCTGGGGCACTGGACAGGATCTCAAGTGGCTTGACCCAAACAGAGGGAATTCAGTGCCTGTAAGACAGTGTGGGCTGTAATGGAGGCAGCAGCCTTGGTCCCCTCATCTTCCAGGTTGGGGGAGCTACTGCGAGGCATGGCAGGCCTCTCTCTACCCATCCGTTTGAGCTGTCCTCCAGAGAAAACCAGCATGCACCCAGGCTGCGGTTGGGAAGCTGCTGAAGTGTGTACCTACTAAGCATCCACTGCGAGTTCTGCATTTTCCAGTCCTACAGCACTGGGCTTTTGTTTTCTTTCTACATAGACTATAAATACACTTATGAATAGGTACACAGTGATCAAAGATAAAGACAGCTAGATTTTCACAGTAATACATACTCAAAGCAGGACTAAATGTCATAGTAGGAAACCATGGGCTAACTCACTTACTTGGCAAAATTGTTTTATAGCGGTTTTTAGTTCCATGACTCGGGATGTCAATTTCTTTGGGATCCACAAAATTCATTGGTATTTCCTATAAAAAATAAATTGAATCAGATTGGTGTTTCCAGAGGAGCCATGCAGGAAATTATCACCAGAAGGCCATCTGCTGTTACACAACTGTCTTTTGACATCAAAGTTATTAGGAAAAAAAGTAGTTCCCACCTCAAGCCTGTCAACACCCTTCCTTTAATAAACACAGGGAGTTGCATATTGAAAGGGTGACTTCCAAGGAACACTTCTGATTAAAAGCAAAGATTCTACAGGATTAGGAGAGGGGTTAAAATGTGCAATAGTTCTAGAAAAGAGGAGTTGAAAAGTGCAGTACCACAGCAGTAAAGCGCGACATTTTACATAACTGGGGGAGGAATTTTTAAAAATAATTAAATCTTCATACATGGCAAACATTTATTTTTTAATTTTATGCAAACCCCTTAACACTATCAAAGATCTCACTTGATTTTTCTAGAAACTACTAGAATGAAGTGCCTTAGTCTTTTGCATTCAGTGACTCAAAAGTGTAATAAAAATCTAAAGCCCTTTCTCTTGGTTCTCTTATTAATCTTTTAGTGACTGATCTGCAGTCTTCTTTAAATATGCAAGTAAATAATGTTACAGTTTGCTTGAAGCTCCGAAATATACAAATTATAAACTCCCGATCAACTTAAAATTACTGTTTTTCAAATTGTTTGTCAGCATGAAAAGTAAAAATCCTTCAATTTTTCATGGAACAAAATGTTTAACTTCATCTAACAGAGGGAAGAATAACTTTGATTTTGAGGTTCTGAGACACTGTTAGTGTTCTTACATGTGAATAAAAACAACCCTTTGAAAATGGCAAGGTGACACACGTAGGTTGTGGGTTTTTTTCTCCCTGACTGTGGGGGATGTTTTACCAACCAAAACAATCTAGCAAAATCACAAAAAATGCTTCAGTTGGCTCAAATCTTCATTTTGTACTGATTTTTTTTTTTTGGCCACCATTATTTAAATTATTTTGGGTAAGCTGGAATTTGGTCTTCAGTAAATGAATACTTCTACTTAAAAGCACAGTCATTACCAGAGCCTTGAAAACTTCATTGCTAGCCTGGGACATTTATCCAGAGACAGTGGCATATTAAATAATTGCCTCTTAAAGACACATAGGCACATGAGGAGGCATAAAAGGTATGTTCCTACCCTATTCAGTGCAAACCTCCTTTGACTTGTGTCACTGGAAAATTTACTTAAGGATTTTTCTCCAAAATCAGCTGGTTTCTAACTCCGCTGGCGCAGGCCTGCCCAGGACTTTGGCATGGATGGGATGCATGGCCACCATCCTTCAGACCCAAGCTCTGCTCCTGCCCAGCATGACTGGCTGCTGCAGGGTTTTTCAGAGGAACAGGGATCAGGCCCCTAACAGCTTGCCAAGGATGCACCCAACAGCAGATCTTTACATGGGTTCACCAAGCATGAGAAGCTACCCTCTTTCTTTTCTGGCTGAAGAGAAGATGAAGTGAAGTAAATCTAGACAGGTCACAATGGTTCCCAACTTGGTTTCTGAACATCTTACTACATGGGGCTGCAATTTCTGCGTTGGTTTTTATTTTTCTACCTTCTCTGCCATAAGCCCATGTGTTTAGTGGACCTTCTTTATTATTCCTCTCTCCCTCAGTTTCTTCCTCGGTCTCTCCCTTGCTCTTCAGCTGATTCCTCAAAAGAACGACTTGCTGCCTCTCATTTCAGGCCAGCCCAAGTGCTGCTGCTAAGATACACCTTCCTTGCGGGTACTTCACCCAGTCCTTTTTCAGCTCCCTGCACAGCCATCCATAGGATGCCTGTGCTATGCGCAGGATCTTCTCACTTGTAAGACCCTATTCCTGAATAAAACTCATCCTCATTCCTTCAGGTCAAACCACCTCACTTCTGTCCTGCCTCTTATGCCCCTTCCCCCTCCATGAAACTACAAAATGAGGTCCCACACCTGCCTCATACTCACCTCTGACTCTTACCCCTTCCCAGAGGAGACCTCTGTGAGATCCTTCCCCTCAGCCGTTGGGCTCTGAAATGTCCTAACAGGTGCTGGCATGGGTTGGCAGCTGACCTAGAGCTTCCCTGGTTCAGTTTTGGTGTAGTATAAACACCACCACTACATGGCTTCTGAAAGGTTTCCCTGCTGACCTATATACTAACTGAGAAAGAGCAACACATGAAGCCTGTGTTTAATGGGATCTACGTCTGTCATCTACAGAGACTGGAAAAAGATGCACCAGGAAGGGTCCTCCGCCTGCGCTGTAAGAGGCAGTGGTCAGTGGGGCTCTTCCAGCTGCCTGGCTGTCTCCCTCTCCATGCCTGCTGAAATTTTAAAATAGTTCATCAGTTGGCAAGTTACTGACAAGACACAGAAATGCCACTGAGTGGAAAACAGAAATGCATTTCTCTGGGCCAACAAAGTCAATTAATAATATTAATCACTTACATCCTGTAAACACTTTCTAAACAGTGGGCTCCTCCCAGTAGTAAGTACTTGTGTGGCCAAGGGCACAGACAGAAATCTGACAGTACACCATGGATCACAGCCACAGACAAGTCACGCTGAAACTGACTGTGAAAAGCAAGAGATTATTCCAGAAAAAAAAAAAAAAATTAGGATATTATGAGGATCATGCTCCTGCTGACGTGGGAGAAAATAAGCCCAGCAGATACCAAATAGCATGAACATCAGCAAATCAGCATACAAAGCCTGTAGCTATGTAGGCAATGTATATCGATTTGTTTTATTAAACATATACAAATATTCTATGTAATTTATTACAAGTAATGCATAAGCTGCATTCATGTGCTCAGCTGCATGCATGCAGCTATAGATGCACATGCATTATATACCTTTGTTCGGCTATTTCACCTCTCTGGGCGATACCCTTCTAATAACAGCTCATCTGGATCACATCAGCCTTTAAATACTACAACTGCTCATACACTTGAAGATCTGGGATTTGGGTTTCTGAAAGCACTCAAGAAAATGTGGAGAAATTTAGGAAAATTCAGACAGATATTTATTATACCCATCCCTCAGTTTTTATGAGAACCAAATTTTATAGATTTAACAACCTGATATTTTCCCATGCAGGACTCTATTTTCTGACATTCCAGTATTTTGGGAATAATGAACTCTTCTGTTTTGTCACCAACTTCAGACATTCTGTCTTTTGAATGGTATCAGCTCAGGCTAAAGATGAAGTACATGGTGGGCAATTCAGGTTTCTTCCTCCTTGCAAATCAGGTATATTCTGCCAAGTAAAAGTACCGCCTTTTTGTCAGCATTTAAAAAAAACCCCAAACCCAGCTCTTTTTTATTAGTAAATATTATGGAAAAATATTTTGATGGTAACTTTTACAATCTTTACATCTTTTACAATAAAAGAGTAAAGTTAATGCCCCCTTAATTGTTAATTTAAAAAAATGTTAATTAAAGAACTAAAAATAAACCCAAGCTGCTCATATTTCAGTTTTCCATCGAAAACTTTGATAATTTCTCCACTTCTTGCACACTTGGAAGGTTTTCATGGGAACTAATTGTTTTAGTCTCAAGAAGACTGTCTCACTGTATTTCTCCAGCTAGTTAAAACAAGCTGAGTGAGCAGAGTGAGTGAGGGTTATATATTGCGTTCTTTGCATGCCTGAAGTTCCTACTGAAGCTATTCTCTGCAGCAAGGAAGATATTAAGCAGATGCTGTTCAACAGCTTCATCTTAAATCACATTTTAAAAAATGGTTTAGAAACCGAATAGACAAATCCTGACCTTTTCAATAAAATTCTGTGAAAACACTGAATGGCCAAAGTCTCATTTTGCCCCCACTAAGTGACACATAAAATGTGAGTCTCCATTGCCCCAAAGACATGCATGGATGCTGTGTGAGAGGATTCTACAGAGTTGCCAAGTTGTGTGTACAAACTGTCTCCTAACATGGAGGACTTCAGGCACGATGAGGTTGTTTCTTCTAGCTTTCTTGCCGAAGCAGCAGAACGGCAAAGAACTGATGGCCTAACCAGTGGTAAAAGTGGGTTGGGTGCTTATAGTCTTTTTCCATGTACACTGTCTGACCAATTTTTGTTAAAATAACTAAGGGATTTATTTGTCTTAAGCAAAGGACTTTTACTATAAACCCTGGCTTTTTAAAGGTGAATAAAAGGACTGCTTCACAGGATGCAGTTATTCATAATGAAAAACTATTTTTACAGTAAGATGGCACTCATCATCTAGTCTACTGATTTACATGCACAAATTGAAACCAAAATGAAACCCGAGGGATCACGTGCTCTGGAATGCTTAAGAATCGTTTGTTTCTCTTTGTTAGACCTGTAGTACAATCAAGGGATTATATAAGTCTGCCTGCTCTTAAATGCATTGTTAGGATACACATTTCTGTGTGTCTCTATTTATTAAATTTGAGCTATTAAACAAGTCTTAAGAAGCTTTGATCAATTAGTTTAGTTTGCTAACGAGTTGTAAAAGCTCAAAAAGTTAGGCTAAGTTTGGGTTGGGCAGGTGGTTATGCTAGGTTCCTCCTCTCTGGTACCCTCTGATAGCTGTTGGTAACCAGGCACCTGAGGGAACCAGAATGGGACAAAATGTTCTTTGTATTGCACTGGTCACCCGATACTGTTCTTTTAACATGAAAAAACATGAATAATCTCTCCATATTCACTTTCTCCTTGCCATCATGATTTTATAGGCTACTGCTGGAGCCTCTCACAGTATCTTTTCTAGGTAGAAGAGTTCTTGTCTATTTAGTGCCTCCTGATACAGAAGCTGGTCTAGTCTGTGATGACATTCATCATATTTCTGTATGTGCTTCGAGGTGGAGAGCTCAGAGCAGCAGGCAGCTGTGAACACAGCATAGATTGTTCCAATGCCACAACGGTGTGTTCTGTAATATTCTCTAGTTCTTTTCTCAAGATTCTTAGCTTTGTATTTCAGAACTCATCAAAATATACAAAACCCAAATGCATTACATTTTATTTAGCAATGCTGAATCTCCTCTGCCTCACCACCATCATAAAGTTCTTCTGTAATTTCTTTGGTCCATTTTTAATTTTACTACCCTCGTTAATTCAGTGTCATCATCATCAAATTGCCACCTTATTATTCGTTCCCTTTTCCAGATGACTTAAGAGCATCTTGGTCAGTATCAGCTCTAGAACAGATGCCTCTGGGACTTCACTGGTGACCTCCTTTCATTCTGAGAAGCAACCAATCCTTCCGGTGCTACACGGTGTTGATTATTCCCCACTGTATTGCATCTGTTCATATGTCTATTGGCTTCTTTCTTTATTATAGTTCCTTGCAATTTATCTGGTTTAGACATCAGATTTCTAGGCCTGCAGTTCTCTGGATGTCTTCTGGAGCCCTTCTGAAAAACTTCTGTTACCTCTGGCCCTCTGATTCCTCAGCTGCTAGGGCCCAAGTGCTAGGTTACACCTGCCCAGTTAATACATCAATAATTGCATATATGAACTCCTTTAGGATTCCTGGGTGAATACTAATCATTCCACTAATGTTTCAGTATCAGACAGATCCTCCAGTGACTTGTTTGAATCTACTCCTGTCCCAGAGGTAGGAAATTCCTTAAGTTCTTCTATGGTCAACACAGATGCAAATAATGTAGTCACATCTCTCCTATTGCTTCATCTTCTCCAAATCCCTTTTCTACCCTTTTGAACATCTATTGATCCTTGCATTTTTTGGCAGGCTTTATGCTTTTGATCTATTTAAAAATAAAGTTGTGAGGTTGGTTTTTTTAATTCAAAACCTTTTTTGTTCTGTCTTACTCAGTTTTTACATTCAACTGACTTCAGTTTATGCTCTGTTCTATTCCCCTTGTAAAGAGCGTTTCCTTATTTCTGATAACCTCCTTCATCTGGCTGTTTCACAATACCAGTCTTTTTGAGGTCTTCTTAAAGTAATATGTAATAATGTGATTTCCCTGAGTGAGTTTTTCTGCTCTGACTTGTTTTTAGATGGTCACTGTCTTCGTTTTAGATTCTTATCCTTTTTAATATTAAATGCACTTACAGGACACTTCAGGTTTTTCAGTCTTGAGTACATTAGGCTTGCTGTATGGAGTGCTTGTGGAAGATATTTTGGACTGACTGTGGGGTGTCCCTGACTGCTCCAGAAAGTCATTTATAGTGACTAAAAGTTTAGTCTTCATATTGCAAACATGCGTGATGTTTACATGGGAATAAAACATTAATGTGTTTTCTGTCATCATAGCCTTTGTGTTCTCTGTGAAACTGTCACAGTGTTGCTGTTTGTACTGTAGCTCTAACACAACATTTATCCTGCCTATGAATGGGACTTCAAACTGAGAGGAATGTGTATTATCCATGGGTATAACTGGCTGACTTACCTGTCTTTAGTCCATAAACGTAAAACAACCCCTTGAAACTATCCAATCTGCCCTTTGGAAATGAGTTGTACCTTGACATTAAAGCGTTGCCCAATTATCTTCCCTTGCAGTTTCTGTTGTGCCAATTACGTCAAAAATCCTCATTTAAAGCTTGCTGTTAAACTCACCATGAATTCTGTTTGAAGTAAATGAGAACATGCAACTGCGTCTCGAAGCTGCTGCCGTGTCAGGACGCGGCCGGCTGACTGTAGGTACTCCATCGCTACTTTTTCTCGTGGGGTTGGCACAGCGACGAAAGGTTCCACACTTCCCAAACTGCTCATATCCAAAGTCAGTGAGACATTGGATCCTCGTCTGTGTTAGAAAATAATTAAAAGAGTTATATTAGATATGTGTTACTATAAGTCTCATGCAGCTGACTTTGAGTTGTTTATGCACCCTAAAGCTGTGAGAACGGCCAGAGTTAAACCACAATGAACAAATTCATCAACTTTTCACATTTCTACAAGAAAATAGGGCTGGATTCAGCAACACCTCTGGGAAGTGAAAATAGAAATAAAGTACACTTCTGTGTGCTTGGTATGAGTGCTACTCTTTTTATTGCTTTCTCCAAGAACGCTTAAGAAAACAGTCTTTTTTTCGTACTTTCAACCCATCGATCAAGTGTTATCTACTCAACCCTTAACTTTAGGCACATTGATTGCAATAAGTCCATGTGCTCTGATGACTAAACACACATTTGTAGTCATTAATCAAACTTTTTGCATTTACTAATCAGAAATCAGTACTACAAGACTGTAAGATTCAGCTGTCTGAACTGGGCTACAGATGCCCAGCCCAGTGCAAATATCTCCAACATTTACGAAGCAGCTATGCACATATAAAGATACGACAACCAAGTTTCATTCCTACCTCTGGACATTATTGTCTCTCTGTTAACATACGGTTACAGGGGAGTTCTTTAAGCTCTTAGTTGTTCTACCATGCTCAGGTATACACAACCACAACATAAGATCCCTGTTTTAAGTCTCTAATAGTCATCCTGCCAGATCAGAATGCAATTCTACATCTTGCTCATTTTTAAAATCACATACACTGGTGATTAGCCATTTACTGGTTAATCCATTATCCAGTGACTCCAGTTTTCCTGCTGGAACCTGCGGGTTGGGCGCATTTCCTATCAGCAGAACTCCCGCTGGATCCACCAGGCTGGGCAATGGGATATGGTTAAGATACAACTGTCTCTTTCACAGTAATACCACATATTATTATAAATATCATGCAGACATGATCAGATAGTATCTGTGAGGCAGGTGCTATTAATATTTTGGGGAATATTTTCCTCCAGTCTGTAGCAAAAGTTGCTTGTATTAATACTTGCTTTTTACTGCCCTTTTATGATTTATTGGTGGCTTATAGGTATTTGTTTGCACACATATTTAAACAAATCACTTGTCTTTTCAGACACTGTGACTCTTTAATTAGTGCTGGTGTTGCTATTCTGTTTTCTGACCACCTCTGCAACCAGAAGTAGTACTCTTAGGGTTTATTGTTTCTTTGTTTGTAACCATATGAACATAATCTTTTTTTTTTTCTCTGACACAACTTTGATGCATGTCCCTTCCTCTTAATACATGTCAGCAGATCCTTCAGTAATTTTATTTTAAATTAAACCATTTTGCTCACGTCAGTCTGCATGAACAAAAATTACTTCAGTCACTCACCTGTCACTTAGCAAAACACAAAGCAACAATGGCCAAGAGACAAGACCACCTGGCGCAATCACTGAACCTCACACCGTGCCATCGCGTCCATAAGCCTATTTCAGTTTAGGTGATGGGTGGGTGACAACAAGAGCTTTGCTGCCCAGGCCCACAGATGGTAATAGTGAGTCAGCAACGGAAGCAGAGGTGGGAGAGGCAAGAGGGAGCCAAGGCAGCCGCAGGCATCTGGCTGCCTCCAAGGGCAGATGGGGACAACGTCTGTTGGCAGTGGGAAGTAGGTGGGGGTACGATTCTGCTAATTTTGCTAGGCAGTAGGCAGAAGTGGAGTAGCATCCTAAGCAGAAATGACAAGTAACTGACAACTGCACAGGCTACCAGTGGTACTCTGTGGCTCCCTGCACACCCTGCATCGTACTAGAGCCCCAGTCGGTGGTACCAGTGCTCATAACCAAACCCAGACATGTGACAGCCTGGGAGGTGGGCATGCCATGAGCCAGCCCTGGCCGAACCCTGCAGGAGGATCCTGGCTCACATAGCCATCCCAGCTCCCCAGGGACTGCTTCTGCCTGCGGGACAGGCCAGTCCCCCAGCTTCACAACGTTTCTCAAGGAAAACATCCTGTTAGACCGCTTTCACATAAAAACCTTCCTGCAAAAGCACCTCTTCTGACCATGACTAGCAATTTATTCCGTGGAAAAAGGCAGTCCCTCAAACAGGTGGCTCTGAGGGCGTATATTGCAAATCCAGTCCTTTGAAAACAATCCAAAAACCGACAGAAGAGATGTACAAGGAACCCCTTCAAAACTGCTTAGGCTACCTTTGGTTGAGAAATGGGTAAGGATTTAGACCCAGACATACTTCTGGGAGAGCCTACTGAGATTTCCTAATATAGAGGAAAAGTATTCACATTGTTCAGTAACAAAGTACAGTGAAAATGTTAATATTTTCTTTGGCTTTTACGTTGTTACAACTGACAGTCTTGGCAAAAAAAAAGCTATTTCCTTTTTAACAACAAAAAGTATACCTGATCTAATTATAACTTTGAGTTTACAGCTTTTACCATTTATGGGGATTATTGCCAAATACCGGTGTTGAGAATCAAATAACTTACTCTGCAAAGAAGAAATAGTTTTTAGCTGCATATTTAACACGTTCAAAGCTACACACTGAAACAGAACTGAATATAGGACAGAAAATAACTACCTAAAGGGTAGTTGTCTTTTTAGAAAGTCCATAAGAGAATATACAAGAGATAATAGCTCTAAAGGTAATTATTCCATAAAAACAGGCATCTCAAAGAACACTTTTGAAGAAGTATGCTTGAGTTAAAAGAATTTTAATCATGTTTAGATTAGCAATACTACTGGCAATATTAACCTTAATCATGCAGACTTCTCTATTGCATTCAAGACCATGATGAGGAATAGGGATGAAACCAGGACTTAATTGCCTGTTCTTGAAAGATGAGGGAGGACCTGAACTCATCTTGTGCTTGTATGTCCTAACAGAAGATGGTCCTAGTCTCAGGTCCTTCTCTGGCCTCCTGTAGAAATGAGTAGAAAGCAAGAACTCTCTTCTCCTTTACTACCTGGGTGGAAAGAAGTTAGGTAGTGAGCCCACCTTATTGGAGGGACTACACAAGGCTGGCCACAGAGCAACAAGGAGATGCCACCTAAAACAAAGCCCATTTTTGATAAATGTCTCTTATCTCCAATAGGTTTTGAATAAAGAAATCACAGTCAGACCAGTGGCCCCACAAGTCAGGCAACTCATTTTTCTTGGAAATATATATATATCTTTCTTGACTATATACAGGTACCTTTCAATTTAAAATTAGAGTGAAGGAGCCATATATATGGGTTTTCCCTTATTTCTGAATATTTACAACCCTTTTTTGCCTTCTAAATAACTTTACATTCTTTATGTTCCCAATGTTAATAGTCTGGGCCAAATTAGAGAAGGTTTTGTTCTGATACTACACCTCCCCCAGCATCCCCTCGAGGTTGTGTCTTGAGGGGCAAGAGCATCATGTGAGGAATCTGAAGAATTGTAAACATTCGTGACAACATTACATTAAAATCAGCATGAGACTAACTCTTCCATAGTTTCACCAGCTGGGACAGCCACCTCATCACAGGGTACGTGAATAAGTGCAATCAGGAAACCACTTGTGTCTGTGTATTGTCTAGTATCCCAGAGGGGGTCTTACTACATACTCAAAGCCCTCTTTTCAGTTGGGTAATAGGAACAAGTCTACTGATGAGAATTCACCAGAGTATTTTTAATAATACATTTATAGAAGCAGATTTTATTACAGACCATAAAAAAAAAAAAAAGGATTAATGCAATGTTTGTTTGAAAACTCTCAAAAGGAAGCTCCACCTGTCTACCTTGGAGGCCCACCAGGTTACTAAAGCCTATTAATTATAAGTGAGGTCATTTCCAGGTCTTCCCTGACCCTAAAATTAAGCCATAGCTGGTGATTATGAAAATCCAATTACCCAACAGTTTTCCCACTTGTTTATTTAAGCTGGGTAATTTCTTTAAATACACATTGCCATGTTTATTCAGCACTCCTAAAAACCCAACGCCCAGATTCCTGGTCCTCAGCTTTCATTCTCTCTAGTGGTTTTGGAAGCAGTGACGGCCGCTGCCCTCCGACCCCAGCATTGCAGACACGGGAGGCGCTTCCTTCTGCGCCCTCGGTCCCCTGTCCTTCTGCTGAGCTTCTGCACGCCTGAGGCCGAAGCTGTGTCGGCTGTGCAGGTGGAAGGAAGCAATTCATGAGCAGGAAGAGTGGGGCTGGCTGTGGCTGCTGGGGAGGGTGTTTGCTTTGGGTCCTCAGAACCCCCTTGTACCAGGGGATGCTCCCCAGGGCTACTGTCACTGGGTTTTACTGCAAGGATGACAGGAAAAACACCGTGATTACCCTGTGTGTTTGTTTTCCCTGGTGCTCCCAGGCTAGGTCTAGACATGGGTCCTGGTTCTCTTCCCTTTCTGGTCCCTCTCATCAGCAAATGAACTGAATTCAGGTGGGTTTTACACCGCTGCAATTGCACTGGAAGAGAGCACAGCTGGGCACGTGGTTTCCACCACTTGCTACCTTACTGGTGCCAGATTTCACCTGCCTATCTAGTTTTATGTTTCAGTAGAGTAATTCAAAGGAAAAAAAAAATTATGAAAAAGGACAATGAAAAAAATACACAGGACTCAGCTTTCCTGCTGCTTTTAGCAAAAGAGCAAAGAGAAAACATGGTTATGTAGATGAACGAATGTGATGTGTACAGCACAGTAAATCAGAAAAGGACATAGTGTTGTTACAATGAATCCTGTATTTCAATATAAAATAAATAAAAATAGGCTACTGTGTAACTCTCATTGACTTTAAGAAAAATCAGCGTTAAAAAAAAGAAAAAGTAGAAAAGCAGGAATACAGAGAGGTTAAGATAAGGTTTGCAAAGGACTGCAAATACTGTAATTTTCTTTCAGCCTTGGGCAAACAGTGGCACGGGTCTTCTAATATATGACTGAGACATTTATTCACAAATACGGATTTATTATACCCATTACAGTCAGTCCTCAGAAGGTTAAGAGATGACTCTCATTTGAAATGAAATATAATATGACAAA